AAATTTAATTTTTGTCACAAATTGAGTCACAGTTTAATTTTTTATTTCCAGATTTTAAAAATAACTGTAACATTAAAATTAAATATAGAAAACCCCACAAAGTATGGAATTTCCAAAGAACGATGGCATCTCATAATCAAATATAGTCCTGGCAGTAATCAGTCATCTTTACTGCAATAGTATTTTGGTAGTTATCAACCCTTGGGGAAGAAAATTGCTACTCCCATTGTTTGAACATTTGGGAGTACCTACAAACACACTTCTAAGGTATTTCTGCATCAAGCAAACCATGATATTCTCATTATTTAATGTAAATTCCCAGAAGAATTGCCAACAACTGATGCCACTGTTTACTTTCATAACCAATTTATTTATGAGCATTCAACCCTTCATCAGACCCATGACTGAATGCTGGCCTATAACTGCTGTGGGTTAACCCCAGCTGGCAACAGTGCCACACAGCTGCTTGCTCACTGCCTCTGCCCTGTGGGATGGAGAATCAGAAGATAAAACTTGTGGGCTGAGATAAGAACAGGTTAACAACTGAAACAAAGTAAGATGTAACAATAGCAATAGCAATTTAAAGGATAGAACCCAAGAGAAACAAGTGATGCACCTTACCAGTGCTCACCCCTGCTGACCAATGCCCAGCCCACCCACGGGCAGTAACCAGCAGCCCCCAGCCAACTTCCCTTCCTCTCCCCCCCAGTTTATACTTCGATCATGATGTTCTATGGTGTGAAATATCCCCTTGGCCACTTTAGGTCAGCTGTCCTGGCTCTGCTGCCTCTCAGCCAAAATTGAGACAACACAGTAGACACACGGAGCTCAGCACAGTTTATGCCCAGGCCGTAGAAGTACAAAGCTTTTCAGCAGATGATGTACTACCAATGTGAAATTCAAACACTCTCCACAATATAAAGTGCATGGGGACTTTGAATAATATATGAGACATCTTTTTAAGCAGCTCTTGTAAAACTGGTTTTGCCATATTACTGCAAGTTAATGTGTGATACATTACAGCACCATGCAGTGAAAACCAGCTCCATTAGGTTTATGTACTCAAAGCACCTTGCTCCTGCCTCTCACTGACCTCTCCCATGGTGAATATGCACCCATCCTGGTGGGAAACATGCTGGTCTAACAACTGGAACCAATAAGGCTTGCCTACCAGGCTTCCACTTCCCAATATAATCTTTCTGTAGGCTGCTTGGGGAAAAATTTGAAGAAGGTGTTATTAACATTCTGACACAGATAAATTAAACAGCTGCTATCATCAAGCTGACAGTAAATAAATGAAAAAGCACGAGAACTTGTGAAACTGATGCTTAATTGGCAGCAAGAAATAGTCTGCAGTACAAAGGTCAGGTATCTAAAGTGTATTTATTTATCAGAACAGCTACACCCTTACATAAAGACTGAGTAGGCCACCTTAGACCTCATGGTGACTGTGAGCTTAGTTCAAATTCCAACCATATTCTAACAGGCAAAAAATGGATTAATAGATATCCTTGTCACTGACCATAAAGAGATGTCTGCTGTTTTTTCAAACTTCCATGTGATAAAAATGAGATCTGGAAAAAGCAGTAAAGACACGTCCATACAGGGAAGATTCCGTCAAAGGCTGTAGGAGTGTTCAGCATTTGTAAAAATTTAGCTACTGTTTGCTGATCACAAATCAGAACACTTGGAACAAGACTGTATCATGGCTGGGAGGAAAAAAGACAGAACTCCAAGCTTTTGTGAGCCAGCCACTTAGGATACATCTATTTTCTATGAAAAAGGTGCATTATTGAAAAAATGGAATTTATTTTCAGAAAGTGAAATGAATTCACTCATCAAAAGTACTCCTGAGAAGCAATGCAGACCATTTTCTAGTATGTACAGGGCTGGTGACACTTGTTTCAGACCAATTCCTGCCTCCTCTCCTGCTCCCCCAGCAGATTTCACAGATGGGAGGCCCTACAGGCCCACCAAAGCACATCACCATCCCTCCTCCCTCAGGCACCACCAGCCTGGCTCCTGCTCAGCCTCCCACCATGTTCTGAACCATGGCACCATCTTAAAACCTGCCCACAAGGAGTCAGTGCAAACCTGCCCTGCTGGCAGGATACTTCCTAGCACACTTGCCAGTTTTATTTTGCTGGAATTTGAATAATAGGAGTCCACACCCTTCTCAAAGTATTCTAGAAAATGAAGAATTCTAGCAATTCCCCACCTAGCTCCAGGATGCAGCGCTGATGAGTAGAGTTTGATGTTTTGAATATGTACCCTTTGGGATGAAGATTTTATTATGGCATGTTTCTTTCAAGTGTGGCTGGAAAAGGAAGATGGTAGACCAGATATCTATAGAAACTGGTAACTGAAGTATTTCCTTCCAAAATCATACAGATTTTTTAACATATCCAAGTCTTCTTAACCTACCTAAATTTAGTTGGTGCAGCTATGTAAGGAACTTAATTGCCCATTAATTTGTCCTGAGATAGGGTAATAATGAGTAGCTGCCCAGATTTGTTTAGTATCAGCATTTAAAAGCTGTAATTTGGTTAGCAATGTATTGCCTCTGAGGATTGCTTTGTTCTCCTTCTTATCCATTCACCCTACATACCAAAACACATTTAATTACTTTAAATAGTGTTCTTCATTTCACTGCCTGGAAAACCTCACAACTCACTGAAATGCTCTCCACTGAGACTGGCTAAGAGACAAACATGCCTAACACATCAGCTTTGGGTTTTCTTCTCTAGTTTTGAAATATGGATGACACTCTTTTCTTATCCCTTGTTTAAAAACCACAGATAATTTAGTACATAACCATGAATAATTTATTACAAGAGAAATATTAGCATAATTTCAATTAAAAAAATCAAAGTTATTCCAAACTAGTAACTAAATATAAACATTTAAAAAAATAGCATCTCTTACAACAAATATTTTTATACAAAAAGTTAATCAGTAATTTTTTTTCTAACATGACGGACTTCTTGTACACCATGAAAATAACCATTAACTTTGTTTTTTTGACATTGTTAGAAAATAAAATTCTTTTATTATTAGTTGCTATTTATGTGTAATAGCAGATACACAGGTCCAGTAGAAAATACAGGAATTTTGCTTGGTATAGGCTAATTACAGCCAGCATAGTTGGAGTATAAGGAGTCCACACCCTTCTCAAAGAAAGTATTATGACAAATCTTTAAAAAATGCCAATGCACATCCATTCAAGAACTGGACTGGTTGCTATTTCTTACAAATAACTCATCTGGTCACACCACAGTGACGACTCTATAAGCAAATAAAGGGGCCGCAAACTATGCAAAAGCATTTCTTTTTCTCTTTTTTACAGTCAATATTTTCTTCAGCTATTCTTTGAATTGTGCAATTCAGAGTGAAAAGCAACTCAAGTTTTTGTTAAAGAACAAACTATAAAATGCCCTCCATCTTTAGTGTTTTTATTGTTTGTATTAGTTGTTTTTAACTATTAAGATTTTGAAGCTTGAATCTGGTCAATAAAACCAAAGTATTCTCTACATTAACTAAGAATTAATGAAACCCTGTTAGTAGCTTTTCTTGTCTGAAGCTTTTTTAACACAAGCATTTTAACAGCAAAGAATTGCTGTGAATTTCATCTCTCAAGCTGAAAAATATTCCAAATTGATAATGTATACAATGTCATTATATTTTGAAGACAAGCGTTTTTAGTGAAAATGTCCCTTTTGCTGGGTAACAGTGATGCCACACAAATATATGAAATATAAGCAGCAACCCTTTTGTAAAGGATGAGCTTTCCTTGGCAGAACAATTTTCTATCCATCCAAACTCTTCTACCAAACCTTTTGAACATTAGAATACATACAGCTTGCTTCATGAAGAAGTTCTGCTTGGCATATACATTTCAGCTGATTAAAACCAGTTTTTAACTGCTGATGTGCTGGCATCCTCTGGCAAACTTTCTGGACTCACACTTAAAAATCCAAAGACTGGAAATGCTCCTTTCTGAAGAGCTTGTCACCAACACACATCTGATTGCTGAAGTTACTTACTTACAAAGTGGAAAACAAAGAGGACTGTAATGAGCAAACCATGGACTGTGCGAGCTTTTTTGTGACAGGAAGACCAGTGACCACAACTGAGGAACTACAGTAAAGTTACCAATCTTCAAGGCTTCTGGTAGGTTAACATATTGTTAAACACCTAATAGGGGCGAATACTATTTTTTAGAAAGTTCAAACTCAAAAAAAAAGACATTCTGACGTTTCTCACCCCTTGCCTACAGCTCATCCTTTACTTAGTATTTTTAGAAGTAGTGCATGGATTGCAAAATGAATTTTGCACTTAGAATAAAAATTAACAGGACTATTTTATTAATAAAGAACAATACCTTCCTAGAAAATGAGGAAAAAAATTTGAAAAGCTTAATTGGGTTCTAATTAATAGATGGCTGTATTAGGAAAAGGTGAAAAAAAATCTTGCATAAAATTTTGTACTAAAAACTAAAAGGATTAAACAGTGTTTTCTTCATATTATGTCTCCAATGAATATCCTTCATGTAGAGTATCCACAAGCTCACTTGGCAATAAATTGTAAAAATATAAAGAAAGCCAGAAATATTAAGGCCATCACCAAGATAATAGCAGAGTACCTGCCACTTCAGCAAGGCTTGTCTTTTATCATCAAAAGAAAATTTCATTTTTTAAACATGGCTTACAAAGATCATTCTTTTTTGCTAATATTTCCCAAGAAGAGATGCTGCATAAAAAAAGGACCATGTTTTTCATTGCCTAACATATAATGACCACCAGGTTTCTGGCTGTCATGCTAATTACTGAATATTTTCAATCATTACTGCCAACAGCTGATATAGAGAGGAATGCTCCACACTTAACAGGCCTCACAGACAAATTTCCAGAGGACTGCAGGAAAGTAGAGCTTTCTAGTAGACATGGGTGGGCTGAGTCTACAATTCATGATACTTCAATGATGAACACTGCTTGAGTGTTTCACTGACTGAATAAAATGTTGTCCTCCTCATATGCCAAAGCTGGGTCTTCCATGCTCTCCAGCAAAGTGTGACTGGTTTCAAATTCACGGTGGGGCAGTGACGGTTCTTTGGCAACAGTGGACATCAGCTGACTCCAGGTGATGTTAGTGTTTTTGAAAGCATGCAGCAGGAAAATGCCAATGATGATGCTGCAGAATCCACTCAGGGTTCCAATGATATCACCCAGTTCCATGCTACTCCACTCCTTGAACAAGATGATGGAGCACGTCACCACTGTCGTAGTGAAGCACACGTAGTAAATGGGGGTCACGAGGGACGTGTTGAACACGTCCAGTGCTTTGTTGAGATAGCTGATCTGGGTGCTGACTGAGAGCACCAAGATGCCCACCAGAATGTAAACCAGGGGATGGCGATAGGCTGGCTTCCTCTGCAGCATCTGTTTAATGGCAATGCCCAGGCCTTTCACAGACGAGACAGAGAAGGCGCCAATGAGTGAGCAAATTAAAATGTAGATCAGTATATTTGTCTGACCTCTCTTTGGAGCCACGACAATGATCAGGACGAGGGCAACGACTGTTAGAAGAACAGCAAATGTAACAAACACTGTAAAAAAGAGGAAAGGGAAGAATAATGCACATGAGGTAAAATACTAGACTATGCCCACAAATATGCTCAGAGTTGTTCAGTGCCCTGGCAACCTCCCTACAAGCTGCAGCATGTCTTCTCTGCAATTGCATACAGACCTGGATCTTGCAGTTTTCTTTCCATCTCATCTAGTGAGGTGACCTCCTCCTCCTCTGGAGCATGAATAACCATGACTGTTGACCCCAAAATGCTCAGTACACAGCCCAGCTTTCCATGAATATTCAGCTTCTCTTTTAAAAAATAGGATGACAATATAGCACTGTTCAGCAAAATAAAAATAAAATGTTCAGCTCCACCAGGCACAGAAGACATTAAAAATCTCTGTCTAGCATAACAGAAAACCTCTTTTGAGTTTGGATATATGGTAAACCAGCCTAAAACAATCAAATTGTAAGGAGTTTTTCCAAGAAAGTTGGTCATGACCAAGAAGATAAGGTCAGGTTTTAGGGAGTTTAGACACCCTCATTGCTTCCCTCCAGGTTGTAAAAGGGTCCAAAGTACCAAGGAACTTCTCACTCCTGATTGCCTGGCTCAGGGTATGCACTTTCACTGGAGATTAACCATAAGAGCAGTTTCTTTCTTCCAAAAATGGTTCAAAGCACTTCATTTGCCATTACAACCAATGCACATGAGTTTTGGAAACTGTTCCTCATCCCTCCCCAGGCTCTCCCACCCAGGCACACTTTCTGCCTGGCTTCCAGGGCTCCCCCCAAAACAGAGAGAAGGCATGTCTTCCCCTTCAAAGAGACCAACCTCAGGATCTCCACGGGGTTGATTATTTAACCTAAGGACAATAACACAGCCTAAATAACACCACTCACAGGTCATGATTAGCCTGTTAGAGAACAACCTTGGGCACAAACACAGGCTTAATGGTGTGTGAACACACTCACAAATAGTTATTCAACCCACTGATCAAAACACAGACATTTTTTTTCACACAAGGGTAATGAGTTCATTGACATGGAGTTCTAACAACCTCTCTGTCTCATGACAATTTGAATGATTGCTATCCCCATCAAAGAAGAGAGCAATAAAGCTCAAGCTGTTTTTGCACAGCAGCAGCCAGGCAGCCAGCTGATCTGCATTTACCAACGTGCTGACCCCAGCACCACTGCAGGTTACATCAGTTACATCAGTTTTGCTACGACAGAACAGCTGAAGTTTAAGCAGGTAGATTATTCCAAGCATCCTAGGGGGTTTTTTGTTTGTTTGGTTTTATTGTTTAGGTTATTTTTTTGCTTTGTTTTTAATATGTGGTGCATGTTGTTTTTAAACACAGTGGTTCATATAATATACTCAGTTCTTAAAAATCAGAGTTTTACATTTAAAATACTATAATTTCATTTTGCTAAAAATTATTTCCTATAAAATTTTTGTATGCACAGTCCACGTCTTTTCTGCTCTTATGATTGCCACATTACTGTATGTGCTTAAGAACTTGGAAATTATTTTTTTTCTTCATACATAGGAAACAATAAGTCTGTGAAGGACATTTATGTTTCAAAAGAATCACAAATTTTAATTGTGGATACAGAAGAAAGCTTAGATTTTCTTTGCCTTCTTGCCAGAAAGATTTCAAAAAGACAAAACAAAATCAAAAGGTTTACTAACTCTGCTTTAATATGAAATTATGCTCCTATAAATAGAAATTATTTTGAAAACATTTTGTGAAGGAGTGCTGTATTTTTATTTAAAGTTTAGTCACAGCCAAAGAACAGAATAACAGTTTTTTAAAAAACTCCAGTTGTCTAGGAATAGATAAATTACCTTCTATCAGCAGTATACCTTGTTTGTGCTGATAAGAATTACTTTATGATCTAGGTGGAAAGCTACAGGGAAGGCATTCAGTGGCCTTTGCAACAAGACTTTTTATTCTGTCTAGCCAGAGAGGTAAGTTCTAAATAAGGAAAAATATCTTTCCAGCAAGCAACAAAAAGCATTTTCTGCTCATCAATTGCTTTCCAGTTTTCTTATTAAAAATCTCTACTTTCAGCCAAAGACAGTATTTTTTTCCTCATGCAGTGAGTGGTTCATCTGCCAAGGCTTGCTCCCAACTGCTACTGACCTTATGAGAACACTCAGTGCACCCAAGGGGGTAACCAAGGTTGCAGGTGCAAAGGCATAGGCAGCAAAGTTTGCAGCTTCTCCTAATCCCACTGCAGAAGAAAGAAAATTTGAATCAGCTTGGAGGAGAATATTAAAAGGCACACTACTGTAAATATTTTCTATGACAGCTATGACAGCAAAATACAAACAAAAATATTTTTTCTGCACTATACATGAACATTTTCATTTCAAAATTAGCTGCACAACCTCTTTTGGAAGTAATAAATGCTGAAGACAGTTAAATACTTTTCTCCTAAATACTCCTAGAAGCTGGACAGATGAAATTCCATGGCATTTGACCAGATATTAAAGAAAAGATGGTTATTCTGCAAAGAGCTCTGAAGACCAAATGCAGTATTTGAAAGACAGCATATGAGAACAGCTTGTCATGAATGTGATTGCAAGGACATTTCTTTTAAGTGAAGGGAACGAAAAATCAGACAATAAATCTCTTTCAAACAATCTGCTTTTTGCAGATTTACATATAGGTTGAGAGGAAAGAACTGACTTACTTGACAGCAGTCCAGCCCACCAAAGCCATTCCTTCAAATAAGAATATCCACCTTGACCTGAAAGAGAAAAAACCCTTACTTTAGAACTAACAGATCACCTTATTGTAAGAAACAAAAATTACAGCTTCACATTTGCACTTACAAAGTACAAAAGAGCATTGTTTGCAACAAGAAGAATATTTGATTTTGACTGACATTTTATTAACCACTCTACTGCTTTGTGACTTGGACTTCTAAAAAATGCTATTTGACTAAAAATAAACAGAGGGGAAGTTTCAAGCAGAAGTAAAATGTTTATAAAGACTGTTGGTGAGCTTAAGAGATGTTTTAAAATGCTTTTCCAATATATTCATATGGTCAACTGCAGCTTGACTCTCCTTTTACTTTAGGTTTGAAAAAATTAGAAAGAAAAATGCCCCTGTGTGCATGACTTTTTTTGTTGTTTTTTGTTTTTAACATAAAACATAAGTATATATAATATACAGTATCAGAGCTTTTTCAAATAACCAAATTCTCTGGAATAATATTTTCCAATAAACGCAACAAACAAAAGAAAAACTGCTAATATTCTGTATTTAAATTCATGCAAAGGAAATTATGAGATTAGTGCAACTGTTCTTTTTCTAGCTGTTCATATGTTGACTTTGATGAAGGCATAGTTGTACTAACTGTAGAAACTTGTGTAATAAATATCATTTCTAAAACTCATTGCACTCAAAAAAAGCTGAGCAAAACCAAAAAGCTAAACCAGCTTAAGACTTTCAATCTCAAATGAGGGGGAAGAAAGATTGAAAAAAGAGGGAGAAGGGCATTTTGGAGGGTAAGACAAATGGAGAATTTTACTTTGGTAACTAATTGCTCTCAGTGAGGAAATCACACCAGCTCACTAGATTTAATACCCCCTGCATCTCCCACAGTCCTATGAGTTCTGAAATCCTGGTCCCTGTAATCACACACAGAAATAATACCATGTCTCCATCCCTCACCAAGACAGGACTTCTGATCACCATTAAAGTAGTTTTAAACATGCAATCTGTGACTTGAACCTTGATTTTGTCAAGCTGGAAGAGGTGTTTGTGTCCCCAGCAGGAGCAGTGATGGGGACACATCACTTACCAGCTCGGGTGACTCCTCTGTCTGCCAGTTTCAAAAGTCCTTTCTTCTTCAGTATGAAACTAGACCCAATAAAGATACTGGAGCCTATAGCCAAAGCCAAGCCAATGTAGAGGTGGTATTTGCTTCCAGAAGGCATGGAAATGCTCCAGTTTGTTTCATTGCCCATCCCTTCCATAGAGGTGAGGAGAGGAGAGTGTGACTCAGACACATTGATGATCTGGCACCATGCCTGACAGGAGTTGCGGCAAGAAAAAGAGAGCACAGCACCTGGGAGCACAAAAAGAAGGACAAATGATTCATAACACAGGCCCACCTCTGGAAGAGCCCTGGCCTCACTCTGCTCACTCTATTTCGTGTCTTTGCAGAGCACCTGTAATTTCTGACTGTGCAAATAACACACAAAACCCACACAATGTACACAGTGCTGCCCTGGGTCATTACCCGCTCCTGTAGCTCGCAGGTGATTACATTATTTTACATCCTTATTTTGCACTTCATTGGCTCAGACAAGCAATAAGGGGAATACCAAGCAATGCACCAAAAAATATTAGCTTCAATTTAAAATTCAACTCAAAATCTTAAAAGCTAACCTGAAACTTAACAAGATGAAGGGCCTCTTTTTTGTTGTGCAGAGATCACAAACACATAGCCGAATCCAATTTTGGACTTTGCCTGTAAAAGTAAGCCTGCTGCTATTCAAGGCTTCTGTTTTTACATTGGTGGCTGAGATTGGAAAAACAAATGGAAAAAAAAGAAGGAAAATCAAACAGGGAACAAACTCTCACTGCATATGGGCACTAAGACATTTTATGAAAACTGTTCAGTGAATACTATGTGAATCAAATCTTATTTAACCAATCACAAAATTTTCAGGTGAAGGCCTCATTACACCTCCCAGCAAATCTAATCTAACCTCAATAAGCCCTGGGTGGAGGTAGATCACAGGCCACAGGGGACAGATCCCCCAGCTATCCCTGCAACACTGCTGGAGAGCTGGGTGATCCTGAGCAGAGACCGAAGCTTCACACTCAGCCAGCCAAGCATTATCAGTGCCACCATGACGACAGCCTGTGGGAATGACATCATTGTTATCAGCCTAGATTTGTTTCTAAAGGAAGAACAGGTACTGCATTTCCAAGAACAAAATGAATTGCTTTTTTTTTGCATGGGGAAGCAGAGGTCAGGCAGCAAAGCTGCAACAGGGCTCCGGCAGTCTAGGCTGACATCTCAGTTTGTCACAGTAGAGTGCATCAAGAAACCAGTGTGGATTACAGACTGGAAAACTCTTAGGAACAAAGTTTTTTGAAAAGAAGGCTTATTGTGAAGACATGTTAAAATATGAAACAATTTGCAGAAGTACAAAAGCTGAGTGCACTGTGATACATAGGAAGCAGGGGATGCAACAAATAGTTTTGTTTTTCATGTTTTCCCTGCAGTTAAAATAACACATGAACAATTAATCCTGAAGAGTGACAGAATCAGTAATACACTCCCTTTTTTTCTTTTTTTTTCTTCTCCCTTTTCCTAACTGAAGAAATGCCACTTAGGGACTTGGTAGGAAAGGATGTGCCTCTGTGGTCACATGTAAGCTCTGGAAATAAAAATGTTACATCAAAAGTACTTAACTGAACAATTAACAAGAAGCAGACTTGGATAATTCATTTAATACAGTTTAACAAAGAATAGTTAAAATACATAAAGTCCTAAAAATATCCTATTTGCAGTTAATTACAGCTAATACCAGGCAATGCTGGTATTAGCTCTGGGAGACAGCACCCTTTACAAGTAAGGAACTAGAGTGAGTACCTGTTCCCTATTTTCTCATTTCATATTATACAGCAAACATACTACAGGAAGTGATAATTTGATTTGCAGGCTGTACAAACACATTTCCTTGTTTGCCAAGAGTGTTTCCATATAACAGGAGTTGTTTTGTATTGCTAAGTCAGACTTAATAAAAATGTTCCCACAAGATAGGTATGCTCATATTCCACAGCTGAAGATTCAAATCTTAGAGAACTTAGATCAACATGCAGTTACTATTGCATAGTATGTAGGATAGATACTATTCTACACTCTTATCATTATTAGAAATTACAATTGGATAATGTAAAAATATGGAATTAGCATTTGCAACTGAAAGTATTTTGAAATCCTAAACTATTAGCATAGTCTTAGAAGAAGAAAAATTTGCATGTGCTTGTTTTCACATAATTAGTGAAGAATAAATCACAAAACAAAATTACAGAAAAGTCCTTTAAGCATGAATACATTTTGTCTTAGTAAACACATACTGGGGCAAGATAAAAATGCCCTTGCTCATGACGGGGGGTTGGTTTAAATACCCTTCAAAGGTCCCTTCCAATCCAAACTATTCTATTATTCTGTGAAAAAAACAATGGAGAGATGAATGAAATCCCTTAGCTCCCAATACCTATACTGGTGCTAAACCAGGATGGTGTGAGAAGCAGTAACATTCCTTGCCTTTAATTAAAAGAAAACTTGAAGATAAACACTCCTGGTAAGTATAGTCCTTCCATTCCCTGCAACAGTAAAGGCAGCTTTCTATCTGTGCATTGGGTTTCTACAGCGAAGAAAATAACAGTTTTCGTCCTCCTTTTTGGTGACTGGTGCACTTTCGTTTAGCTGGAGATGAATGGCAAGCTTATTTTGTTTCACATGAAACAAAATGTTTTTCTATGTGTTCTAAAGTTTTTCATTCCTCAGCATACCTCACACCATCAAATAAGGAAAGTTTATCACGTCATTTGTACTAAGTCACCCAGTGAATGTCACAGGTTGCTTCTCTCCTTTCTGAATTACAATCTTTGCCCACATTCACAAAGAAACATTGGATTTGTCACTGAGAAGAGTCATTTTAAATGCTTATGATCTCTTTTTATTGGGCTGAGCAGCTTCTCATAGTTAAAGAAAAAAAAAAAGTAATTTGTTCCTCTTGCATGAAAAGCGGCATGTAAGTGCACTGATCAAAGAACCACCTGAGTGACGGGAAGAGGAGGCTGCTCCAGAAATTACTGTTATTTTATTACCCCAGTCTGAACAGTCTGAAGATCACTTGGAAAGGCTGAGGAAGATGACAAACCACTGAGGCTGCCTGGCTTGCTCAGCACAGAGTTTCTGTAGCTAAGCTAGTTTCACCTCCTACTTCCAAATGTCAACAAACATGAACGTGTCAGCAGAACTCCTCCTTGCAGAAATAATCTCTCCCAGCTCTGACTCAAGGCTGGCAGCAACAGGAAACCAGTCTGAGCCGAGGCAACTGCTGGTGTAACTTCTAAACCTTTTTTATGATTCAGCTAATTTTTTTCTTTTTTCTTTTTTTTTTTTCTCTCAAACACCTAAATATTCGCTGTCTGAATTGGGTAGACCAGCCACCCCGGTGCTACACACTGCTTGTGACATGTCTAACTTGCTGTCATTCTGAAGTTCAGGGCTGACTGGCCTTGGTTAGTGACAGTCAACTTGGTTCTTAACCTGCCACTGAAGATACTGGTCCTAAGTCATCTCGAAAACGAATTGCTCTGATTAGACAATAATTTAACCATTTCTAATGAGCTCACGACTCAGCTCCCCCCTGGCAGAAACCTGGAACGCCTTTCTCGGTCACCCAGGAAATACCAAGCCCACCTTTGCCAAGGCGCAGCTCCTGGGGCCAAGAGTGGGTGTATCGAGAAGCCGCAAGGAATTCTTCCCGTCACACCTGGAGTAGAGACTCACCAAAAAGCACAAAACAAAGCTGAAAAGATGTTTAACCCTAGGCAGCCGCGGGAGAGGGGCAGGAGCCTCCCCGGCGCCGCACACGCGCCGCTCCTCGGAAAACAACTGGGTGATGCCGGGGCGGAGGAAAACCTCACCTGGGGGCTCCGGGCACCGGGGCTGCAGGAGCGCACGGCCGCGCCCCGAGCCCGCCGGCCCTCCGCGTCCCGAGCCACGCGATCCCCCCGCGCAGGCCGAGCCACCCCGCGCCCTCCCGCGGTGGATCCCCCCGCGCAGGCCGAGCCACCCCGCGCCCTCCCGCGGTGCCCCGGCCCCGCGGCCCGCACACACTGACCCGCTCGGCAGCACGGGCGGGCGGGCAGCGCCTCTCCGGGGCCCACGGCTGCGAGGCTCCGCGGCTCCGCCCGCCCGGGCGCGGCACGCCGCACCTGGGCGCGCCCGCTCGCCGCTGGAGACGGGGGTGGCATCCCCGCCACCCCTCTGGACACAGCCTGTGGGCGAAAGGGCACGCAGGGCTCCAGGAGTCACCCCGAATGGGCTTTCCAGATGGTTACCGAGTCCCAGACCTGGGGAGTTCAGGGGCCCCACCTGAGCACTGAATCCAAAGAAGAGCGCGCTCTCCTGAAGTAGCTTGGCAGCGTTTGCCTCTCCTGGGAGTTTCTGTAGATTTAATTTTCTTCCCCTTCGCAGCTGGGAGCAGAGATGAGCAGTCTTGATGTGCAACCACTTATGTTTGTGACAAGCTGCCTGTGCTCGCTTTGGCCAGTGGATCTGCGGGCAAGCAGAGGGGTTTCCCGGCCAAACTATGGCAGCGTCCTAGAACAAGGGCAGTGCCTGGTGATGCATACCCTGAGATGACTCCCTGTGGCTTAACAGGCTCCAAGTTCTTACAGAAATAATTATCTTTATTACCCAATGAATAGTTTCAACTAAGGTCTTGGTTTTGACATGATTAAAGTGAAATACACTTACAAAATGTAAGGCTTAATAAAAGATTATATGTTGCCCAGCAAACTTCCTGGGACACTCTGCAGACCTTTAGCATGCACAAGGATTTCTCTAACTGGAGGCAAAATTGCAAATTTAACACACCTCCACAGAGCACCACAGGGACGTGCAGGACTGAGATTAGAGCTGTAACCAGGCTTTGCAGCACAGTACCGAAACTAATCATCATTGGTTTTGAAAAGCCATTGGGGCATACTGCTGAAATACGTTGACATTATCAGCAAAATAACTTGGTTTTCCTTGACTTAGGTATCCTTGACTTTGCAGTCCTGTGGTTAAACCAAGAGATTGGTTTCAATGTCTAAGTCTCATTTTTAATTTCTGTATTTATTTTTTAGCATAACCAGCACTCGTATGTTAGGATAAAAGGAACACTGGATTTGCTTTTTGTGATTTTAGTTACCATTCCACTTTATCTTTACTATGTCTACACTATAACAACTTCTAGGGAAGGTGGCCAGAATCCATTGCAGGCTGCATGATAAATAGTTTGACTTCTCCGCTTTAACATTTCTAAAGCAGGCTACTGCTAAAAAAAAAAAAGAGAGCAATAATTTTAAATGGTATTTGAAAGAATTAAATCAAAATTTTAGAGCATAATCTGAAAGTCTGGGAGAAAATTGTGATCTTCTTGTACAACATAAGCATGCCCATAGGATAAAACCACATATATGGACAGATGCATGTCTGCAGTCTACTTCAAATTCCTATTTTTGTTCTGTGTCCTCTCAGATCTGTCAACTCTGTTTGTTCATATCCCTGTTTCTGAAAAAATGTGTCAATTTTTTGAGCTTGCTGCAATCCTGCAAGTGACTCCGTTGGCAGATCTGCTGAGAAGAGAAGTGGTAATATCCACAAAGTCCTGCTGAAGCAGCAGAGAAGGTGGGAAAGGGTGAGCTGCCAAAGACCACCTCTTCCTCTGGCACAGCTCTTGCTGACATGCTTCTCACAGCTTCACTGTGGTGCAGTACCCAGAGCAAGAATATGGAGAAACAACACAGCTAACACTTCTGTAAATGGGCTGCTGTACCAGCCAAGTCCTTTAGCAGGCCATGGACATCAAAGTCTATTTAATTAATGAATAAAATATTTAATCTGATTTACACATTTGTTGACAGCTGGCTGAACATGAACCAGCAGTATGCCCAGATGGCTGGGAAAACCAATGGCATCCTGCCCTCTATCAGGAATAGGGTGGCCAGCAACATTTTGTCCCCCTGAAGCTGGCACTGATGAGGCCACACTGTGAGTCCTGTGTTCAGTTCTGGGCCCATCACTACAAGAAAGACACTGAGGTACTGGAGCAGGTCTAGAGAAGGGCAATGGAGCTGGTGAGGGTCTGGAGCACAAGTCATGTGAGGAGTGGTGAGGGAGCTGGGGGTGTTTAGCCTGGAGAAAAGGAGGCTCAGGGTAAACCTTACCTCTCTACAACTGCCTGAAAGGAGGCTGTAGTTAGAAGAGGGTTGGTCTCTTCCACCAAGTCAAAAGCAACCAGACAAGAAGCGACAGCTTCAGGTTGTGCCAGGGGAGGTTTTTCTTCACTCAGAGGGTTGTCTATCATTGGAACAGGCCACCTAAAGAAATGGTGGACTCGCCATCCCTGGCGCTATTCAAAAGATGTATAGATGTGGAAGTGATGGGTATGGTTTAATAGTGAACGTAGTAGTGTTGGGTTAACTTGTACTTAATGATCTCAAGAGTATTTTCCAACTTAAATGATGCTATATACTTATTGTTCCTTGGCTGAAAATCTTTAAATGCTTCACATTTTTATATTGTAATAAACAGCAAAAACCATTATGAGACCATTTTTCTTCAGAGAAAAAAAAATGAAGTCACGAAAACCTTGTGACTAACAATCCAAGTCAATGGACAGATGCAAAAACCTTGCAATCTATAATATTATTACAGAACAGAGTAGGCATACTTCAGGTGTAAATACTTCACTGGTGATTAGCAGTTTTCATACTCAACTTGTTTTGAAGAACTTTGAGACAATGTCAGGGAGAAACTAACTACATAAAAGTAATTTATCAACATTGATATATTTTTCTTTATTTTGGTTGACATGTAAAGGTCAAATGGGAAAAAAAAATAAAGTATTGATACACAATCTCATCAACTGACATAAAGAGAAAAAAGATGCCAGTTTGCCATCCAAAATGACACTTATGACTGATTTAGAGCAATGCCTGGATCATAAGCTAATGCAAATCAGCACAGACCCATTTAATTCCCTGGAGCTGTGCCAGATACAGCTAAGCACAGATTAACCTTTTGTGTATGAAGTAAAAATATGCATGTAGTAACAGTCAAAGCAATTTTGTGGCAGTTTCCATTTCTCCCAAAGATGAATAAATGTCTGTGAAACCCTGCTCTGCCCTTCTATGTTATTGCACTATTTTTTCCCCCATTAAATGTTTGGAAAATGCAAGAGAAAATTTATGTTAAAATTCTGCTACTTATGTAGCTATCTAACTTCATTAACTATGTAATATATTAAAAGTTTCATGAAACTTTCCTTAAAGCCAGCAAGCACTGACTTTAATAGTAGATCTTTCATAAAAATGGAAGCACTGACTATCTAGCCAATTTTAGTCTTTTACATTTATAACTAAAACAGTCACTGGAAACATCATTTTTTGTGCCTTAATAAATCCCATCTTTACCTCTGTGTTAGCCATGAACTACTTAATTACCATAATTTGTGTGTCTTCTTGGCTTTGTTATAAATTCTTTACTCTTATTGAGGATTCTTTTTTCTTATGTGCATGTACATTGAGTTCCTGATGCAGTATTGAATTATATTATCATAAATACTGAAGATGATGACAAGTTTCACCACAATTAGAAAACCTGTTCACTGTGCAGCTGGTTCAGGTGCAGACATGAAGCAAGAGCTATCTCTTTTATTATTATTTAGGAAAATTGCCTGTGGCATTTTTAAATCCTGTTCTCATTGCTCAGCTTCCCTGTTCTGCATTACTCTGCCAGCAGTCGTTGCTACACGACAGTGTCCAAACATGAGTTCTGTTCAATACAGAAGGTACAGACAGATTCATTACCTTTCCTGGCATGTAGCCACACAAAAATTACTGAAGTGGATTTGTGAATGAAGCTCTGACCATGGGAACTCTATCTTCCCCACTACATGGTGATTTAGTGCAGACCTGCAGGAATACATGAAGAAATTAGGTTCAACTGAGAAAAAAAAGGTCTCTAGACTGAAGTTTAAAATTATTAGATTGCTCTACTTGCTGGGTAGAGATTAATTGTATATATGTTCCCTTATAAATGCCCAGATAGTGCCATCTTCACTCCTTCTATACTACAAAGAGTGAATAACATGCAAGGTTGGATTTATGAAACCTTTTTTATCTACAGTGCACTTTCTATCTCTCTTATTGGTGGCAATGTCATATATTGATGATTTTTGTTTAAGCAGAATTAATATCAGTGGAATCACCTTTTATTGTGTAAATGTTTCAGCATCATTATTCTGTGCAACCAACAAAGATTCTGCTAAATAGAAGTAATGACTGTACAGAACTTCTGGAACTTCTGTAGGGTCACTACAATTATTCTTTATCCCATTTATACCATTGAATGAAGATCTAGTATTTTCCAGAGAGTTTTCTGATAAGGCAGTCTCTTTGTTCCTTGCAGTTTCTCAGGGGAGAAACACCCACTGAACATGGAAGAGACAAGGATAGTCTTAATGCAGGTTCATCTCAGGGCACAGAAAAAACTGCCAGGCATGGCCAGACACAGTGTGGACATTTCAGAAGTGCTAGTCCCTGTGCAGAGTAGCCATGCAGAAACTAGGGTCTGGACCTGGTGGATGGTGGTGAAAGGCTTTGAGACAGTGTTTGAGCACACTGTGCGGTGCTGTGCTCTGTGCCTGAGAGCACCTGCAATGCTTTGCCATTCCAGCCTCATCTGCACATTAGAGCCCAACTCACCAATACACATCTTAAATTGCTTCTATTTCACTCGCCATCAACCTAAAGTAAAAATACAGTACCACCTACTGGTGGAGACACTGTTGGCACTGATGGTTTTCTAATCATCAAGCCTCATTGATGACACTGAATTCTAGTGTGAATTGAGCTTCATGACACTGAATTCTACATAAGACCATAAATAAGCCAGAAGCCCTGGAATCTTCTCAGCTGCAGCACTTCCAACATGACATTAATTGCTGAAATCACATCAGCTCTAGAAAAACCAGAACAATATTTGCAGAAAATAAGCTTGCCAAAACTGTGATCCCAATCCAAACACTCATCTGTTTACAGAGCTTCAACATAGTAAGCTGAAAAGCAATGTCATGTCATTAAAACCTGCTTAATTTAGAAGTCATATGCATGTGTAATGTATCTAGTGTTTTGGCTGTGGGTATCTGAAACTACATGTAGAATTAATAGGATTGAGCAGAATTACAGATGATGACAATGCA